GAAGTAGTCTCTTGTGCCAATGAGTTCAAGGCTCTTCCCCACTTTTTCTTCTAACAGGTTTAGTGTATCTGGTCTTATATTGAGGTCTTTGATCCACTTGGAGTTTAGTTTTATGCAGGGAGATAAGTATGGATCTATTTGCATTTTTCTATATGTAGATATACAGTTAGACCAGCACCATTTGTTGAAAGATGCTATCTTTTTTCCATTTATGGTTTTGGCATTTTTGTCAAAAATCAGGTATCCGTAAGTGTGTGGGTTTATTTCAGGGTCTTCTGTTCAATTCCATTGATCCACCATTCTGTTTCTATGCCAGTACCATGCAGTTTTTAGTATTGTTGCTCTATAGTACAGCTTGAGATCAGGGATGGAGATACATCCAGAAGATCTTTTATTGTAGAGGATTGTTTTAGCAATTCTGAGTTTCTTGTTATTCCATACGAAGTTGAGAATTTTTCTTTCAAGGTCTGTAAAGAATTGTGTTGGTAATTTGTTGGAAATTACATTGAATCTGTAGATTGCTTTTGGTAAGATGGCCGTTTCTACTATGTTTATCCTGCCAAGCCATGAGCTTGGGATATCTTTCCAAATTCTGATATCTTCTTCTAATTCTTTCTTCAGAAACTGGAAATTTTTTTCATACAAGTCTTTGACTTGCTTGGTTAGGGTCACCCCAAGGCACTTTATGTCTGTTGTGGCTATTGTGAAGGGTGCTATTTCCTTAATTTCTTTCTCAGCCCTTTTGTCTTTTGTATACAGGAGGGCTACTGATTTTTTTGAGTTAATTTTGTATCCGGCCACTTTGCTGAAGGTGTAGGATAGAATTTTGGGGGTCACTCAGTTATACTATCATATCATCTGCAAACAGTGATGCTTCGACTTCTTTCTTCCCAATTTGTATCCCCTTGATCTCCTTACAATGTCTTATTGCTCTAGCAAGGACTTCCAGAACTATGTTGAAGAGATATGGGGAGAGTGGGCAGCCTTGCCTTGTCCCTGATTTCAGTGGGATTGATTTAAGTTTCTCTCTGTTTAGTTTGATGTTGGCTATAGGCTTGCTGTATATCGCCTTTACTATGTTTATATATGTGCCTTGTATCCCTGATCTCTCCAAGACTTTAAACATAAATGGATATTGGATTTTGTCAAATGCTTTTCAGCATCTAAGGAGATTATCGTGTGATTTTTTTTTCTTTCAGTTTGTTTATATGGTGGATCACATTGATAGATTTCCGTATATTGAACTATCCCTGCATACCTGGGATGAAGCCTACTTGGTCATAGTGAATGATATCTTTGATGTGTTCTTGTGTTCAGTTTGCAAGTATTTTGCTGAGTATTTTTGCATCAATGGTCATAAAGGATATTGGCCTGAAATTCTCTTTCTTTATTGGGTGTTTGTGAGGTTTATAGGGTGACTGTGGCTTCATAGAATGAGTTTGGTAATGTTCCTTTTGTTTCTATTTTGTGGAATAGTTTGAACAGTATTGGTGTTAGCTCTTTTTTGACTGTCTGGTAGAATCCTGCACTGAAACCATCTGGCTTTTTTTTTTTTTTTTTGGATGTGAGACTTTTGATGGCCGCTTCTATTTCCTTAGGAGATATGTGGAATCAATCAAGAAAATTGTCGATTTCATTTAGATTTTCAAATTTTGTGGTGTATAGGCTTTTGAATTAAGACCTAATGATTGTTTGGATTTCCTCAGTGTCTGTCATTATGTCCTCCATAGATTGTTTATTTTAGTTCAGTTACTGATATAGTTTCATTTAAATTTGTCATCTTATAATTTTCCATTAATTTCTATTAGATTTTTCTCTCTGGCCCTGTCCCCTTTCCAGATTTACTTCTTCTTTTTTTTATTATTTTCACAACCTGTCCAAAAAGGTGACAACCAGAAGTTGCTCAAGATTGTGTCAAATATCCTCTGGGGAGCAAATTCACTTCTGATTGGGAAGGACTGATTCAAGGGAATGTCCACATACATATAGAACCATAGGTTCTTCATCCCAAACGTGCATCAGCCAATGAGAGAAAAGCAACACTACCATCAGATGCTAGTGTCTCCTGGTCCACTGCCCGGGAAGCTTAAAGCTTCTTAAGGGATGATGGCTCTGAGTCACTATTGCAGATTCAGCCCCAAGACTCTGGGAGAACAACGCTCAACTTAGAGCCCAAAAGGGTGTTCTCAAAATAAGGAAATGAAGAAATGGAGAGATGACACAGCAGTTAAGAGCACTTGCTGCTCTTGTAGAGGACCCACATCCAGTCCTCACCACCCACATGGTGGTCCACAACCATCTCTAATTCCAGTTCTAGGGGACCCAATGTTCTCTTCTCACTTCTGTGGACACCAGACATATGGTGCACATACATACACACCAGCAAAACACATGAAAAATATGAAATTGATAAATCTATAAAAAAATTAAAAGAATAAGTGAATGAATGAAGAATGGGTGAAAGCGCTAATGATTACCCACAGTGTTACTCTGAGGAAGAGTGCATTAGGTAGTGTATATGGGAAAAGGGGATGTTTTACTGTTCTAAGTCTTTCAGTGTTTGAACCTTAGTGTCATTTTACTTTTCAATACTCATTTTAAATCTGTGTGGACATGTGTGCAAGCATGCCAATATGTACACGTGAATGCAGGTGCCAGAGGCAGCAGTTTCCCCTGCAGCTGGGGTCACAAGGAGGTTGTGAGCCACCTGATGTGGGTCCTGGGACTTGAACTACCCTCTGTAAGGGTATGCACTCTTAACCATTGGGCCATCATCCCAACATCATTTTATGTAATTATTTTATAGATAAATACTTCTATACATATAATTTTAGAAAATATTTACAAGATTTTTTGAGACATAGTCTCATATAGCTCAGTCTACCTTTGAACATTTTATGTAGCCACAAAAGCCCTTACACTTCTGATTCTCCTGCCTCTACTTCCTGAGTGCTGGGAGTGTGTCACTGTCCCCGGTTTATCTGCTGGATGTTAGACAAGCACTGTACCAACATCCCACACAAGATTTCTTTTTTAATTACTTGAGGGTTCAGAATGTCCGATTTGGTAATTATTTATTTAACTTACATGTTTTTAAGAATACAATTGGGGGTTTTAGGCTGAGAGTTCTGTTGTTGTTTCCTTTCAATTCATGAGTACATTGTCCTTCAATAGAAATGTTTATGAATGGGATTTATGGTGGGAAAAACACAACTCCACATACTTAGTACAGAAGGAATCTGACACTTTACATTTGACTATGTGCCTGAAAAGCCAGTGGAATGAGTGTGTTTCACATTGCAAGTCTTTCAGAGCGAGGTACACAGTGTGACTGCTCAGGAAATATATGCCGAAAGAATTGATTATGGGACCTTCATGGACATGATTTTGGCCACTTTTAGAATAAGTTTTTCAAATTGGGATTCTCTGAGCAGCATGAGGTAGGATAAGAGAGCAAGATGCTGTGGAAAGGAAGAATAGAAGTCAAGGACACAGGAATGGACTAAGATATAGAATGCAAAGAAAAGGTTAGGTTCATGCAGAAGAGAACATACAGCAAGAAGAACTGACATGTGTGAAATTTCACTCCTATACAATACCCCTTCCCCAACCTCTCCCCACAGAGAAAGGTCTAGCCACCCAGGTCTCCTCAGGTCAAGGCTCCAGAAACCAGGACAGTCTGGGCTTCAAGGTGAGGTGATTTATTTGCATGAGCCAGGCGATGCTTGAAGACACAGACCAATCCATCTGCCTCAGCTACCAAACAGATCCCTTTGCCTCCTCCTCCCGTGGAAGCAGTCAGGGCAGGAGGTTGGCAAAGTGACCTTCCGAAGCTGAATCTGTGTTTCTAAAAATAGAAGCATCCTCCAAGAATCAAGAAGGGGAGGGAAGTCTGTGGATGTTGAAGGCCAGAACCCAAGTCCCCAGAGCATTGCCAGTATGAAACCGTTTTAATTAGATACAGGCACCCAGATCCATAACCTCAGGTGTCTTGCAGCAATTGAAACTAAATGAACTGGCTTTTTTCCTCTTTCTACTTACACTGTCCTGAGCTTTAAGAAAAGAGAGAGAAAGAGTCATGTATTCCGACTTATTTGGATTGGTTGTACATTGCCCAAGGAGATGCCTTCCCCAGCATTCCAGTGGAGGGAATCGGAGTTCCTGGAGACACACTCAAATGGGATGTGGCAGAGTGGGACCTCCAGGGGCAGACAGCAAGGCTCCCTTAAGTCTAGCTTCTGAACTTTTCTTCCTGCATGGGTGCTGTGCAGGACTAGGTTTGTGTCCAGTGTGTCCAGTTATGTGGGAACAAGAGGTCAGGGGCCGCCACTACCACGTTTATGCAAGGTCCTTGTCCAGAGTTAACAAGGAGCTGGAAGATTCCGTGAGCTGGTAAAACCGCCTGATACTGATCCACAGAGGTTGTTTGCAGTATCCTAAGCAGACATGACAGTGTAGAGTGTCAGGGAGCCTGGGCTCTGCAGGAGTGTGCGAGGACCATGTGGCTCATTTGAGGGCTCTGTGTGGAGAGGCAAGCATAGGTGATAGAGTGAAGACCCATCATAAAGACCACAGGAAGCTGAGTGGGCTTGGGGGCAGAGTCTCTGAGATCTGCTGGGGCGATCAGCCTTGTGAGGTGCCTCTTTGCATGACTTTGCGCTGAGAACTCTGATTTGCACATGATTCCCACAGCCAGATGAGTAGAGCCACAGGAAGGGGCACTCTGGGAATGCTGTGTTCTAGACTGTGCGAAGCTGGGTGAGCTTGTGCTTATGGGCTGTGTGTGTAGCTTCCTGTGGACAGCCTCCTCTCCTCTGCCGTCTAAAAATGTGTTGTGCCTCTATAGATGCAGAGCCACCCCAGGCCAGGGGTGGAGTTTCGGTCTTGAGCTGAACCAAAGGAGCAGAGTGTCCTTTCTAACACCGCCTGGCAGCCGAACCTCCTGCATGTGGACTGAGGACTCTTTCAAATGCTTTGGTCTGTGCCTTTTTTTCCAACAGGACAATGTGGATCTGGGTGAGCTTATGTTTTCACTCTGCTATCTTCCAACGGCTGGCAGGCTGACCATCACCATTATAAAAGCAAGGAATTTAAAGGCAATGGACATAACAGGAGCATCAGGTAGGTCATTCTTCAATTCCTCATCTGGTTCTAATTCAACACATTGTAAAGTTCCTATTATGATACTGTGGGTCTGGAACCAAGTTGCCTAGGTATAATCACATTCCTACCACCTCTGAGTGCCATGTAACCTTGGACAGGTCACTTAACCACTCTAGGCTTCAAATTCCCAACTGTAAAGTGAGAGTAAGATTAGTATCTGGCCTGTTGAGTTATTGTATAGATTAACTGAGTTAATATGTGTAAGACCATTAAGGGATGTGGTATATTAAGATGCTACATGATGCTATCTGAATCTTGAGCCTTTCCTTGCCCATAAATGGGACTCATCCTACAGTCTGCATATTCTGAGGTGGTCTACCCAGTTAGGTCTTTCCTCTCACTTCACTATCTTGAGATCGTTGAAGATCAGAAAACAAACTATAGCTTGTTTTTTTTTCCAGTGAACCAAACATATGCCTTTTACATTGTAAACCCAGACACAAAAATGTCTTAATATGCAGTTCATACTACGCACATTCATACTAGCTTTGGCCAAGTACTCACTAACACAGAGAACACTGGTTCGTGGTCACTGAACTCAGATACTGTTATTCTTTTGTTGTTGCTGGTGATGGGTGTGTGTGAGTGTGTGCATGCATGTGCTCACACACAGGCACACATGTACACATATACACATAAAAGCCAGAGGTCATCCTCAGCTATCATACCCCGGAATCATTTCCCACTATCCCACTAGGCCCTCACTACTATCGAGCTAAAAGGGAAGCCCTCTTTCTCTGCGCCCAAGTGAATGATGCCCTGACCTTTCACCCTTTCCAGAAGGTACTTCAAGCCAAAGGAGCCAAGATTTTTGTTTGTTTGTTCTTGCTTAGAAACAGCCTGGCATAGAGAACATAGAATATATCAACCCCTTGGGGTAAATGCCATCCTGACTTTGATTTTTGAGAAAGATTCTCTCATTGGGACCTGGGCTCACTGGTTAGGCTATGACTGGACAGCAAATACCAGGGATCCTCTTGTCTCCACTTCCCTTGCACTGCTGAGTGCGGGCCACCCACCATGCCCAGATGTATACATGGAAGGTAGGCTCTTTAGGCTCTAACTCGAGTCCTATGCTTGCGTAACAAGCTTGTCACTGACTGATAGTTACCCCAGTATGTTAATATGTTCTATGTTCTATACTCCATGCTGGTTCTAAGCAAGAAAACGAAAAGATACAGCTCCTCTGGCTTAAAGTACCTTCTGGAAGTGGTGAGGGGTCAGGGTAGCATGTGGTAGCAGAGAGATACAGGACTCCCTTTTAAGCTGCATGGTTATGAGGGTCTAGTGGGACCAGAAGTGCCTCATCCAGAGCACAGCAGCTTGGAGACCTGTTGATCTGCAGTGGTTATGCTATGAACACCCCCTGTCCTCCCTCTTCCTGATTAATTAACAGCTTCTCCCTTTGCAAATACGCTTCCAGGAGCTCCCAGAACTTAGGGCCCATCCACTCCCGCAGGCTGCCCCATTCTCCAGGAATTCAGAACTTACAGAACTGGGGGCATTCCCCTGCTTGGAGGCCCAATCTTTAAGCAAAGATTCTCCTGGGTAGCTCAGAGTTGGGGTACTGAATTCCAGTCTTCCACTCCTTGGAAATGTCTATGTTTCTGTTCCTTTCACAGGCAGGCAGGTCCTAAATTATGGTTGGAATACTTTCCAATTCAGTAACAGATGTTTTCACCCTATTTTTAAATTTTATGAATTTTGAGGAGACAGTGTCCTGTGCTTTTTCTTCAGTGAATAACTTAATTAGTCTGAGTAGTTGCTGCCCACATCACATATCACATGCATTAAAGTACTCAAACTCTAGTCTCCAGACAGAGAAAGGAAGTCTTCCTCCACTGGCCACATATACCCAGCATCTCCATTTGCCCTCACAGTGCCTTCCCTGCTCTTATGCCTGTGCAGATCCCTACGTGAAAGTCTCACTCATGTGTGATGGCCGGCGACTGAAGAAGAGGAAAACATCCACCAAGAGGAACACGCTTAATCCCGTTTACAATGAAGCCATAGTCTTTGACGTCCCTCCTGAGAGCATTGATCAGATCCACTTGTCCATAGCTGTCATGGACTATGACCGGTGAGATACCAGGGGCTCTTTCTCTGTGCAGTCTTGCTGTTCTTGGGGCGGAATGGGAACGTTAGGGAGCAACCATATGCTCAGCTGGGATCCCAGGACACAGAGTGATCAAAGGGGCAGCATGTGGAGAGCAGGCTGACAGGGGGTCCCATCGTAGAACTCTGCTGTAGAACCCTGTTACTACAGGCTTCTCATAGCTTCATCTCTCCCCTCCCCCTTCTTACCTTTCTTTTCCTTCACCCTACCACACCCCACCTCTTTCCCTTCCCATCTCTGCACACTTCCTGGTATCTCTGTGTAGAGAACCATGGCCCCTCAGGTCTTGTTTTCCACTGAGCAGTCCTGACTTCTTCAAGTGGAAATCTTCTACCCCAAACACAGAATGATTACTTCAGCCATGCCGCCAACGTTTCTAAATATATAACTTCGTCCCCCCCTTCTTGCACTGTGTTTAATAAAGATCATTTCCATCCACTCAGGTCTGAAAGCAAACACAGAAATGTTCTCTTGAAAATGCTAGAATCAGTATGGATGACAAGGTACATTAAAATGTATAAGATGCTAGACTTTTTAATTAATACAGCACAGAGGAGATATTTATAGCCTGCATTGTAGCCAATTGTGTATTTAAAGGACAGATTTGAAAAACAGTCATTTTAATATGCAAAGGAAGTACCAACAGGGAATTATACATGTTAAACCAGTCATTAGACTGCAATGCAAAGTCTCTTTTTAATTAGAAACCTCCCACGTGGTCTGGGCACAATTATAAAAGAAAAAATCAGTCTGACTTCTAATATACTCTTACAAATATTATTTGTAGCTAAAAATGTTTCCATCTACCTTTGAAATGTCAGCACAGCAGCGTCAGTGACCTCAGTGCTTTTCCAGTAGATCCCTACACAAAGCATGCCTTGTCTTCTGACACAGTTGCCCATGAGCATGACAGCCCATGCTGGGCTTGGACCTTACCCTGTCTTCTCTGGACACACACAGTACCATAGTGCCTGGTCCCAGGAGGAGATGCTACCTACCAGCTGTGAAAGGCAAGGATAGCACTTTCCAAGCTATTGCCAAGGTTCCTGCATCAACAAATCTGATTATGTGATCTGTGCCTCAATTTAATTATCAGTAAACTCATGAATCTGGTCTGGAAAAATCCATGGCAATTTGCACAGAGCCCCTGCATGCACTTGATTTTAATGAGCATTGACTTAAATACCCGGACACTGCATCCGCATCCTGTTTCCTTCTCCCCACACAAACAGAATAGAAACTACTCATCTTTTCTGGGAGAAAAAAAGAGCTTATCCCAAAGAGTCAAAGGATGGGCCACATTCTAAAGTTTATTTCAAGGGACTATTTTTTTTTAATTGCTCAGGGAAAAAAAAGTAAAATGGCACAATGGAGGAGACCTACTCAAAAAGTTTCAGGCTGTTAGCCCTAAGTTAAAAAAGCTGGGTGTCTGTCACGGTTAAAAACTCTAGTTGGCTCGATGAACCAAAGCCGAGTGTAAGAAGGAGAGATGCAGAAGATGGTGGCAGTGGTCTTTGATGGATCAGGGAGCGAGAAGACCCAGGAGCCCAACCCTCTGGGCCTACCATGCCACTCTTGCTTGCCTCTTGTGGAGAGCTGAATGGGTGTTACAGCACACACTCCTCCTTCAGGGCCCCTTCCATTTCATTCCACGAATCTGGAAGCTCAGCTTGCCGAAGCAGAAGTGGGTCATTAGCACACACCAGGGAGTTCTCCGAGCAAAGGTTCTCAGGGCCACATGAACCCATGTCAGCCTTAGAAAAGATGGCTGTGATATGGAACCCTACCTAGGTCTTTCTGCTGATTAGCCTGGACTGCACTTTTAAATTAGATATTTTTTTTAATATCCCAATACTTCTGAATTCCCTCCATCCTTCTTAACGCTGTAACCCTTTAGTACAGTTCTTCATGTTGTGATGATCCCCAACCATAAAATTATTTTATTTGCTACTTCATAACTGTAATTTTGCTACTGTCATGAATCGTAATATAAATATCTGATATGTAGGATATCTGATATATGATTCCCCCACACACAAAAGGATCACAACTCATAGGTTGAGAACCACTGCTTTTACTTTTGCATTCCAAAATTTTAAGAAAAAACTGTTGTGGCCCATTTTCACAGTGTAGGTCACAATGAGGTCATCGGCGTGTGCCAAGTAGGCAACGAGGCTGAGCGACTGGGCAGAGACCACTGGAGTGAGATGCTGTCATATCCTCGGAAGCCCATTGCGCACTGGCACTCTCTGATGGAGGTGAGACCTACCCCTGTGTGTTCTACTCTGTAGAGTACGTGCTTTGTTACTGTTAACAGCATGACCATGCCAGGCTCTTCTATCACTAGCGCTGTCCCCGCAGAGATTTTCTACGGCTGTTGGGACTTGCATGAAATCTAAGGTTTGATATATTCTCTCCACCAACCTAGAGCATTTGGATCAGGGACTGTCCCCATTTTTATTGTCTTTTTAAAGGGATCAGGATTCTGTTAACAACTTTGGGTTGGCATTTGGAGGGCTTCTGCATGAGACAGAGCCCTCGGTTTGGAGAATGCCCCTGGCCCTAGCCTGTGAGTCTTTTGTTGGTTAGCATCAGGTTCAGGTTTATTTAATAGCGATAACAAAGCATAAAACAACAATGTGTAAAAGGAAACTTCTCTCTTCCTAACATACAGCAAGTACAAAGGAAGACAGTGTGGGGTGTGGCACCATGGTCAACAAAGACTAGATTTCTCTCATCTTTCTGCTTAACTGTCCCCAAAGTTAAGCTTAACAGCTTAACTGTCCAGGTTTCTGAGCTTCCCAAAGCCTGAGAATCTCTGGGTCCCTGTTTTAAATATGGTCAGGAAGGTGCCTGGGCCTGTCCAAGGCCTCATATGATACTCTGACCATGTCCAAAGGTGGCATCAAGAGAGACATTGGACTACTGACTGTCCTCATGCCTTTCAGTATGTGAAGGCATCAGATCCAGAACCCCTCCAGACAATCTCTTCAGTCTGACCATGGGCCTCATTATACAGTGTGAGTCCAAGCTCAAAACCATCATATCTTTCATGCCACAAATGTGGGACAAGGCAAGGGTCAAAAGAACACACAGTGCTTCTTTCAGGGTTCTCTTTGAGGTTTTCCAAGACACTTACTGTGCACCTTAACCACAGGACTTTGAACATGTCTACTTTCAGAGGAAGGAAATAAATATATTCATTTTATTATGTACCTAGCTAGAAAAAGGGTTTTATGCAAAGAGAGAATGCATACTGGCTGTCATCCTGCCACTTTTTCCTTATCCACGCATTTATTTTCCTTTCACTTACCAATTTTTTTTCTGTTTATCTTTGCTTATTGATTCATTTATTTAAGCATTCTCTCAACACTAATTTTGACTGAGGAACATTTCTAAGGATCATGTGACATGAGGACATATGAAACATGCATGTGAACAAGAGGCCACTTGCTTTATAGCTCTTACAGATACTACAAAACAGAAGAATTTTTAAATGAATTTATTTATTTGCTTATTGGTGATGTGCACGTGCAAGGGCACACGGGAGACTACAGGACAACTTTTAGGAGTTGGTTTTCTCCTCCTACCAGGTGGGTCCTAGAGATTGAACTTAGGTTGCCAAACTTGAAAACAAGTGCCTTAACCCACTGAGCCATCTCACTGGCCCAAGAAAGTGTGAAATGGAGTATGAGCCATTAAAGTGCATAGGCATAAGCTTTGATGCTCATAGGATGAGCTCCTATGTCCTGGCACATAGGACAGGGGCTTGTTGAACTTACAAGAGACTTGAGCTGCTGGGAATGGGAACACCAGGAAGCGAGCTGGAGTCATTGGCCAAGGGTATGTGGGTTCCAGGCAGAGAATGTTCCTCTGTTCTCCTACTGTAGGCAGCTTCTCCCTGCATTGGCACCCTGAGAGCAAAAGAGATCACTGCCCAGTGTTGATAGTACCTCCGCACTTGATAGTCGGGCGTGTATGATGGAATAAAGATGAAGGCAACTGGAGAGGAAGAGATGCTCCAAGCCGGGCCTAAGGACAAGGGAGGGAACCATTCCTTAGAGGGAAGCATGAAGGGTGCTAGTTATATTCAGTGATAGACTAGAGTCCCCTAATTTGCAGACTCCTGAGCATGTATCTCTGCCCCTGGGCCATAGAAACCAAACCTCTCCTTCCTGGCATCAAAATTAATCCCTAAGGGGGACTTCAAGAGCTGCAAACCACTTGAGAAAGAGCCAGGGGAACTTTGCCTCATTTCCTCCACTCCTGGTGGAATTCTCAAAGGACCCATATGTGGGTTTAGCAAATTGCCTAGGGATGTCACTGGTGAGCGGTAGTGAGAGCCATTGTAACCTGCCTCCTATACCCTTAGAAGTCACTTCTGATCTAAACTCTCCTTTGTGGTCAGAACTGTCAAAAGTCTATGTGACAGGTAATGGAAAAGGAGTAAGGTCTACAGGGTCCTGACCCAAGCAGGACTTTCTCAGTGGCCTTGGCAGACAGGAACCCTTGGCAGGTATGTGGCATGGCAGGTATGGGAGCACCCACAGAGCAAGGGTAGAGGGTCTCTCTGGCTGCTTCTTCCACTTCAAAGGGAAGAATGTTGTGCAGCTTCAGTCCACGAGAGGTGCTCCTTAAACCCTTAGCTCCCAGCTTTTTGCAAGTCTGTGTTCAGCAGTTATGTAAGTAAGAAATAAAAGTCTTGAGGGTTAAAGTAATGGAACTCGGGAGTCCTTTGTACAGTAGCTAGAATTACTTCAGCTAATACAATGGTCGTTTCTCAATGGTTGCAGTGGAACTAAAGAAATGAAATGCCTCCATCCCTGTGGCCTCTTGCCTGTCTTTGAAGTCATGTCTTGAACTCTAGATCCATCTCCAGAGGGAAATGCTGCCTTCTCTTTTAAAAATAAACATGTAGCTGGCAAAATGAGGGCAATGGTACCAGATGAGATTAAAGAAAGGGGGAGGTGGACCGTGCTTTGTCAGCCTCTGCATGGATGGAGATGGTGATGGGAAGTGCTGGGAAGTGCATGTGCCGGAGTTGGACAGACCTAGATTCACACTGCTGTGCAGCCACGTGCTGGTTGATCGTTCTTCACCCTTTGGTTCTTCTCATCTGTCAAGTTGTCATAACTGCCTGTCTCAAAGTGAAGTTGTAAAGATTAAGGTTTTTAAGGGGGTGGGGCATTGATTTGGGGTTTCATGTAGCTAAGGCTAGGCTACATGAGCTTGTTTTATACTGGAGGATGAACTTCTAAATCCCCTTGCACCCCATAGGTGCTAAGACTATATGCATATACCACCCCACTCATTTTACACAGTGCTGGGTGTTAAACGTAGGTATTTTTATTGCTGGGCAAACACCCTATAACTGACCTGTTTCCCCAGCATAAATTAAGTTAATTTATGAAAAATGCCACTCTGTGGCTAGCACCTAACCAGCGATCAGTAAAGTTCTCATCACTGTGTATCCTACATTCTAATGGGTCACTACATGTCCTCATGGGCTCTGTAGCATAAGGAAATATCACCCATGTCATTTTTCATGGCGACAGCTAGGGACCCCAGTAAACATCATCCCAGTTTGGAAGCGTGGCTGACTCAGCATTTGAGTGGACATGGGTATACAAATTTTCATTTTGTTTTTGGAGATAGGGTTTCTCTGTCTAGCCCTGGCTGTCCTAGAACTGGATCTGTAGACTAGGCTGGCTCAAACTCAGAGATCTGCCTACCTCTGCTTCCCCAGTGGTAGAACTAAAGACATGTGCCACCACCCTTCAGACAGCTCAGATATACAGACTTAAGATCTGCCTGCTTTCCCATTTAACTTAACTGTAAAGATAACCTGCTGTTATGCTCTCTTTAAAACAAACAAACAAACAAACAACTGCTGAATCTTGGGAGTCTTACTCTGTGTGTGTCTGTGTTTGTGTGTGTGAACAGACATGTATGGAGCACATGGAAGGGTGACTAAAAATGGGCATGCGTTGGGATTTAGTATGGAACTTTGGCCTGACAGAAACTCCATGCTGCCAGGGACCATGGCACTAGGGTATAAATGACCCCTGATTTCTGCAGAGACCTGGCCATCCACTCATAACTATATCAAGCATACCCTGACATCGCCAGGGCAGGTAGCAGATGGAGTCTTCAGAACAATAAGTTCAAAATCCATTTCTCTCCCTGGAGCCCAGCGTGGCTTCACGGCACACCCTACGGTCAGCCAATGGCTTTCCCTTTACTCTTCATAATGTCATTAGCTCAGAGAGCTGCACAAGTCCTCCCAGAACAGTTTTTTCCGGGACATGAGGGTAAGAGTGCCCTTCCGTGAGATTGTGGGAGATTGACAGAGTGCTAAGGGCTTCCTTATCACAGCATTTTCCTCTGTGCACCCAAGATAAGATGGTGTTGATGCGGCCATGTCCTCACACCTTCCTCACCCTCCTGACAGTCAAGTTGACCTGCATCCGGAGCCGCAGGAGATTAACAGGCAATAGTTCCAGTGTTTGCATGGCTTGCCTGTGAAGTGCTATGTAATGTCTGGATTAGACTTGGAATTGTGGGAAACCAGATGCAGATGCCATTTAGTTAAATAGTGCTTTACTTTTCTGAGATGATGACAGACAATCCACTGAGAATATATAGTAAAGTTCTTACCTTTATTCAGAGGATGCAATAATAACCCATTTATATAATTATAACATACATATATATGTATATGTATTGTAAACTAAGGTGATCAGTGTGAATCTTTCTCTCTCAATGCCTAGCCTTTGTGCAGACATGTGCATCAGGCCAGAAAGGTTTTATACCAGCATGGCTGGCTGTTGAGATCACCCTTTCTCCATGGCAGTATAAGAGCACAGGACATATTATAAAGAGCAGAGTCCTCTTTGTCTTCCTTGGGCTCAGTAAAGCTATAAATTTAGTGCTGTGAAGAACCTAAAGCAAGCATCATTTACCAGGTCTTTCTTCAGTGTTGCACCAGTGCCCCTTTAAAACATTTCTAAATATTTTCTATCCAGTGCTCAACAGAGCTCACTTGGGATCTTGAATCTACACATTTCCAGGAAGAAAATTTCTGCTTTTCCAGGCTGTGTCAAAGAAAGGTAACTGTCAACCCACTCCATCTACAGTGTAGGGGGTATAGTTCTTGAGAAAGGCACCAACATAACAGGGAAACTCAACAGAGTGATCTTGGCTGCTCCCCAAAGGGGCAAGAGACCTAAACACTTGGGAAAAGTTGCTTTCCACAGTA